ATTTAATTCTACAATATATGTGAGATATAGTACTGTGCAAAAGTCGCAGACCACCCTTCATTTATTTCACTTCCAGAAAAAACAGCCATTAAGTAGAAAGTAATGATTTTTCAGGAGATACAGTGACCTCCATAATGTTTGGGACAACGGCTTAACTTCTTTTTAATAGTTTTAAAATTGTACTACAACAATTCACACGTGGTTAAAGTGCACATTCTCATCCTGTGTCTCTGATCTGTCAGACAGCTGTATGGGAGTTTTCTTCATTATGGTGAAAATTCCTCTGTCATCAGCTGTGGGGGTCTTCCTTGTCCTACCAGTCCCTTTATGGTTACAAAGCTCTCCAGTTTTCTCTTTCTTCTTAAATGTTCCAAGTGGTCCATTCCGGTAAGCCAAAGTTGTGGCCAATGTCTCTTACTGTTTTATCCTTGTTTCTCTGTCTGTTAATGGTCTCCTTGAGTTTCATTGTAACAACACTGCTGACAAACAGCAATATCAGACTCCAAAGATGACCAAAAGCCTAGAATCAGGACTAGATGCTGAAAGCTCTGTTATACCAGCACTAATGAGGAAATTAAACATTCTATGTATAAAAAGTACATGGTAATTCTAAGATGTATAGAAATACCATTTTTTAAATCTGAGAATGTGCTCTTGAACCACGTGAATTGTTTGAGTATAAAAACTGTGGAGTATAGAGGCAAATAAAAAAATATGTATTGGTCCAAAATAATAAGGAGGGCACTGTATTTCTGGGAAGATTGGATAGAAAATAATACACTTGCATAAAGAACGGTCTGTTGAATAGAATGGAAGCTACAATAAAAGCAAAGTGTGGACACACTAAATGCTGAAAATATTCTATCATATTTGGTTGTTGAGGCCTCTGTGTAATTTTCTGTTAAATATATGTTTTCCTGATGAATAACTTGTACTTAACAGACATTTTGACTGGAAATAAAAAAAAATTAAGGGTGTTTTCTGATTTTTGCTCAGTACTGTATAATGAAAGGCTTGCAAACGTTGAAAAAGGTCTGTTTTTTGGCACTAACGGAGGCAAGTGTAAGAGTAACAGGGCGCTTGTATCTCTGCCAATTTGGTGCACTTTTGCCGTTGCACTGCAAAACAGACCCAACACAAAAACCCAAGCTCTGGTGCAGACTGGAACAAATGAAGTGTGTGTGAAAACTATCCACTGCATTTATAGCATAGGTTTGTTTCTATGGACAATATTTTCAACTGTACTTCCAACTATACTCTCCCTGTCCCTATATGGTAATCAACTATATGCTACAGATGCGGCAGATAGAGGAATATTCCTCAAACTACCTCCCACTGAAAGTTTCTAATACACCTGGTGGTTCCTCCAAGTTGTTTGCCATTATTTCAAAAAGCAAACATTATGTAGATGTCACCATAGATTATAAATCTTTTTTGTACATATAAGTACATTTCTGGTTCTGTCTGTACTTGATAGCCTTCAGCGATGCCAATAATTGAGTAATAGCTCAATTCAGCGCTCCATTCGTCGTGCCTTTGTAAACACAGCTGGACATGTTCTTTTAAACATTTAATTAGTTTTACAGAATAGCAGGCTAAGCCGAAGCAGCATATGAAACATCCCTCTGTTTCGCACCCTGAGAGTCTTATGTGTGGTTTTGCGCTCACACTGAATTTCATTGTGAACTATTTTCAAATTAACTGTGGCCTACTTAATTTTAATTAAAGTTGCCTTTGTGTAGTTTAAGAAGTCACAGGAGAGATGATGTGGTAAGAGGATCTGTCCTCATTAAGTTAGTGTATTATGTGAAGACAGAGAGACTCTACTATCATTAAAGGCGCACACTTGAGCTCGTAAAAGTCTATTGCACTGTTGGGATTCACTTATATACTCTAAGGAACAGCCAGTCAATATTGGATAGTTATTGTGACCTCTTGCCACACTGTACTTTTTAACCTACTCTCATGTGGGAGACATATCCTAAGTGTTGCCCCTCATATTACATTAAGCTACATCCTAACCATACTTAATAAATGGTGGGAAAAAAGATTGAGAAGTGTGCTGACTGTATGATCCAGCTGCAAGTATTCAAGTATTGGTGGCCCTCTGGAAGGTCACTGGTGCCCCCTGGCTTCTGAGAGTGAAAATGCACAACCTCTCAAGTCGAAAGGGCTTTTTATTTTTTTTATTATTTTTTTTTTTTACATGGACACTTCCTCGGTCCTCGAACCATTAGCTTATATTGTAACTGGGATTGAGAGCGTTGGTTTGATTTTCCCTTAGATCCATTTGTGTGAATTTATGTACCAAAAACAGTCTGAATTAATTAGTGCTGTAGGCTGAATAGACCTCTGAAGTCATATCAGGTACTCTTGGTCTAAGCTGGTTTTCTCTATGACAGAAATGAACAGCATTATTCAAGAATGTCCATCGTCGCATCCTGTGATAAACCAAATTGCTCCAAATTTTGCTGTATGGACATTTTTCCTTGAAACGTTGCTGGATGCTCTGAAATATGGGGTCATTAAGGAGCTGAAATACAACATTGCTACATGCAGCTAACACTAAATTTACATCATATGACTGTTAACGTCACCAAAATACCCCACACAAACCAGCAAGCTTTATCAAATGTTGGTAGTTTAGAGGCATTGGCAGGTTTAGGCTGCTATTTGAATAGCTGATGTATAACAGTCAGATATATTAGCATGAAAAGTTAAGACTTACTTTTACTTACGTCATTAAATGAGCAGGAGCATTAACTTGTAGCATGTATGTTGCTTTATTCATATTGACTACTAAATGACCTCATAATTCAGAGAATCCAGTGACACTTGAAGGAAAAATGGACACAGGACACAACATATAAGTTTTGGAGCATTTTAGTTTAGGATGTGACAGCGTTGATTTTTCGAAAACGGCATCCATCTTTGTCATAGAAAAACAGAAAGACGCATGTTTTCAGAGGCCTATAGGCAACATAGGATATATGCAGTGGTGTGTAGTAGGCTAATGCCATACTTGAGTAAAAGTATTAACACTTGGGTAAAATAGATACTCGAGTAAAAGTACCTTCCCAAAAAACAACTTGAGAAGAAGCACGAAAGTATTGGGTCAAAAAATTACTTCTAGAACTGCAGAAGAACATCTTAGTAAATCCAGGATCTACCAGCAGAGAACTACTGTTTTTTTACGCTCTGTTCTTCTCTTTTTGGGATTTTGCTAAAGCTCCAAAGTCAGAGGTGTGACCAATCAGAACGCATTGCACATGTCACCACCAAAACATAATGGCATTAAACACAAAACAGGAATTAGTAACTAAATATGAATGGCTAAAATGTAACTGAGTAAAAGTAACTGAGTATTTCTTTAGTATAAAACGGATAGTTCCGGTCCTAAAATATGATTGGTTGAGCTGCGTTCAAGGCCAAATCCACAATATATGCACACCTATGACCAACTAACAGCAAGTGAATTCTGTACTACCACGTCACGGCACAGAAAAACATGCTAGATGGCTAACATGCTGGACAGCACCATCATTAATATCACAAGCTGGTATTAAAGTACTTGCGGTATGATTAACTGTAAAACGGCAGTATAGAAGTCTAAAAATGTCACTTGAATTGATTACTTGCTTCAGTTGTGTTTCGTGTTTCATCAGATGTAGCCTCAAACCCAGACTGAATCCCAAGTAGCTTTTTATTCCCTAAATAGTGGGCTAGCTCTAAAAGTTAAGAAATTCTAGCTTCTACAGCCAAACAGTGCATCATTTACAGAGTATGAATGTGTCTGAGTCCCAAATGACTATTTCTTAGATATATTTTGCACTGTTGGGCTGCAGGATCCAGTATTTAAATTCCTATGTAGTGCACTATGTAGGGAGCAGGGAGATATTTGAGATTCAGCTCCAGCAGAAGAAGAGGGGCACCGTTGGACTGGTGCTATATAAGACTCACGGTGGCAATTTGGTGACCACTTACAAAGCAAACGTTTTTGCATTAAATAGTGCTGTTATCATATGTTCATTGTTATATGACAAAAAAATTTTAAATTCATAAAATGACTGCAGTATACAGCGATGGGGAACCAAATGTTCTCCTCATTCAGTGGTTCATGGTTGCTTGGCAATGATACTATACTCTAAAGGAACTACATTCCTTGGCAGAATACGTGTTTGCTGCAATTTTATAAAAGCTATAAGCTACTTGAGGCTGTGCATTACTGGGATTTTATCACAAGGAAGGGAATTTTAGGCACTCCCCTTCACATTGTGCCTAATAACAGCCTTCCTGTGATAAAATCGCAGTAACTCACGGCCTCTTGTGGCTTATTGCTTAAATATGCTTGAGCATAAGTACTTAGGAGAGTACACATCCATCAGTGTTTTACTTAAGTACACATTCTAGAGTAAATGTAACTTGTTACTACCCACCTGGATATAAGAAAATCTTTTTGTTTTAGTGACCTCACAAAAACAATGCAATTCAAAACGATTGTTTGCAGCATTACTGCATTTGGACTGTATGGACTGGAAAGCGAATGTTTTGAAACTTTAACAATGCTAGCACATCAAACTTTTAGAGCAAAAAAGCTAGAAAAGGTTAGTTTTCCAAGACACTTTTGCTTTAAATAAGCATCCTATATATCACACTGATGATTAATTCTGCGCTGGCAAAATTTAGAGCCAAACTGTGGGAGTCAAATGTATGAGTTTAAGTGTGGTTAATATAATGTAGTGCATAGACAATGAGTAAGTGTTTCTTCCAGGACAGACAGGTGCTTGCAGCCTTTTCTACCACTTAAAAGCATGACTGTTTTCAGCTGTAGAGGTAGAAGTAAGGGCTTCATTTATTTAGCTGTAATTCAATTGGTAACTGACTCCCAAAACTTTCTGCTGTGTTTCCACACGCCGTGCTCTGTTGTGACACCTGGGTTCTCACTTCCCACGCAGACTTCAAATTACACAAAAAGAAAGTACATCACTGCCACGCGCACATAGAAACACACGGTTTAAGTACAACTTTTATTAATACTGGAATCATCACAGTGCGTTTTGTTACATTAGCAGTGACTAGAGTTAACAAAATAAAGAGGATAAATATTACAAAAAAGGAACAAAAAAAAACGTCATCAGCAACAGAGGCAAAGTAGCCTTAGAGAGAAATAAAAGAGAACACAATAAATTAAAGTGAGAGATAAAGAGAAGAGAGATAAAGAAGAAGGAGGACAGAGACGACAGCACCTGTAGCATTACTTGACTCCATTGGAGGAAGGGGGTGGGGGGGTGGGGGGGGGTTTACAAAAATTAATGCACACATTTTCTCTGGTGGTTAAGAACAGTGGCGAAGGCCGAGCCGCCTTTTTCGGGGCTCGGGAGCAAACCGAAGGATGAACGAGAGACTTAAGTGCAGGAGAAGAGTGCGCAGAGTGACGCCGTTAAGACATTCAGCTGAGTTACCATGGCACCTGGTTGCCGAGCATCAATCTCGGCTTGTGTGCGTGTGGAAAGGAAGCAGAGGTTCCACTGCTGGGCGAGATTCAGGGCCTCTCTGAACAACAGAGCTTGTGTGGGTGAGACTGAGTGGGTGTTGCATGTGTTCGGGCCAGAACAAACCAGGCCCAGCCAAGCGATGCGTTTTAGACTCATTTGAAATATGAAGAACAATGCGAGACCAATGAGATAAAAGAGGCAAAGCTGAGGATGCACTACAACCTTCAGTTTGGGTTCAGATGAGTTAAATCTACAGCATATGCTCACATAATTTTGAACACTTTAAGGTATCCAGCTGTTTCTTTATTAGAGTAAAGAGACCCTTATCAGAAGGTACGCTTTCTACACTCCCACTACCTGGTAGCTTAAATTAGAACACAAAGAACAATAGACAGGACCGCGCCAGCCTTGTTATTTTGCTTTTTGCACTAAATAAGTGGCAAATTGCAGGATTTATGTAACTAATTTCATAAACAGGCATTTTCATTTAGCAATAAACAAAAGTGCAGCTCTTATGAAGGGTTCCTGCTGTATGCTAATGGTGTTATTTTCAGCTTGGCTCTTCTACAGTGAAAAATCGTTGCAAGCCCAAAATCGATTTAATATGAACATGCATGCAGCTGTACCGGAGTTTGGACCATTCTGGAGATGATGCAATTATTTTTGCAATTACTGCTAAAGGCTATGAACATACAGTCTTTACAGATCCTTTTAGTCATTAAAAAAGAACAAATGCAAACTGAAAAGGCATTGTGGAATGATAAAATGGTTGGATTTTTGGAGCTACTATCTAATGTCCAGATGCTAGAATGATGAAAGCGAGTACAATGGGCTTATATATACACAACACAGAAACATGACATCACAAGCAAACTAGCATGGAAGCCTATATAGCTATTAGGGACGGGCATTTCAGTCAAATTTGAATGTGTAAGTCATTTCAAAAATATTCAAAAACACCCCTCCCCCACCCCCCAGAAAGTATAGGACATTGAAGGCTACAAGGCTACTGCACACTGGACATATTGGCATTAAACCCAGACCACAAATCCATTTAGATGACCAAGAAAGTAGCCAAACTGGTATTTTTAAGATAACAAACAAATGCTAATCATATGTCACAGCCTAGATAGCAAAAAGATAGTAGGCCACTGGTGGTTAAATGGTATTACACAAAATGCCATTTTTTTCCACTCACAGTCCAATTTACTTATTTTGCCTTTATCTCTTTCTTTCGTTCTCCTTTGTAAATTAATTTAGTAAATGATTCTAACAGCAATATCATAAGTAAAGCTGTGTAACCAGTCTACCACAGTGTCAGCAACAACATTTTCAACAAAATCATTTTATATCAGGCCTAGTTTTGTCTCTCAATTCTTTATAATATTTGTCTTAGTTTTATTTTCTAAAAGGCCACGGACATTTTAAAATCTGTTAGAGGAGATTACAAGCTAGTAGACCTTAATCTGGGTGGTCAGAGGCTGGATCAGCAGTGGCATATAGTCAGCAGGGTGCCGACTTTATCAAGGCAGCAGACTAGTTTGCTATCTGGGCTCAGCTAATGTTACTAGCCTAGGAAAACAGTGAGTTTGTTAAGTTAGTCAGCTGATCCCAAATGTTATAAATTCCCTAAATGATGTTGAAACTTTTATTCCATCAGCTCTACAAATGTAAGATGAGCTTGTTTATCTGCTCTTTTCTGTGATGCTTCCTATGAACTATAGCTGTGCTCTGTACTCTTTGTTACATGGCACCAGCTTCTTGCTCAGTGTGTGTTAGCCTTTAGCCAGCTGCAGAAACATTTCTACATTTATTTCTTTGGACTAAACAGATAAGAAACTCTGACCAAAACGTAACATGCACTGCCTTATGGTGGAGCATAGCATGTCATGATTTTCATGACTATTCAAATATCTGAAAACTCTGACTCATCCCTAATAGCTATGGAAAAATGTGAAAAATGAACTGCCTAACTTTGCAAGATAAACTGCTTATGATCTGTTTTTTACAGACTGTGGCCTATTTTATGTACAGGTTGGCTGCGTAGTTCATATCCAAGGCATTGAAAACCACTATACTGCTTATGGAGCTAGCTTTGAAAATGTTGTGTCTGATGTCTAAAATGTAATAGAGTCAAAGTAAATGGCTGCACTCTCTTCACTGTAAAGAATGCTTTAGGGCACCTTCTGACCAGCAGGGGAGAGAGCAAACATGCACTCCATCACACAGCTCCCTCTGCTCAGGCGGTGCTGAAGCTAACTTCAGCTAGCCCAGTAGGAGCACATGGAAAAGGAGGCGAGCACAAATTCAGCAGCATGTAAACATTAATATTAATGAGAGTCATTTCATTAGCTACATTAGCCTCTCTTAGGGAAACAGTGTCACGCCGGCCTTACAGAGACAGTCGCGGTGCAGTTTTTCGAGGAAACAGCATCTGAGCGAAGTCACACTTCTGGTACGAAATTTGGCATTCGACTGTTGGCTTGTAATAAGGCAGAACATGAATAATGCAAAAAGTAAGAATTTTAACAACCACGCGATATCATGGATATGAGTGAAATGGTGAATGATACAAACAATGGCAAAGGTATGTCAGAGAGGAAAGAGAGACAGACAGCGTGTCTCCTCCTCACCTGTGCCTGTGTACGTTCAATGCCCGAAGAGTGACAATAACCAGGTTTCCATCCAATTTGTGGCATATACTGGGTCTGATTCAATGCACAGTTCCATACAAGCATGATGATACTGTGTTATGCTGCTCTCTGAAATGGTATCCGTCAGTAAATGCACATAAGCTTAATGCACCATGTTTTGCTTTGCTATGGTGCTGGTATTCCCCACGCTGCAGTCACCCAGTAGAGCGGTTTAGTCACAGTATTGTACCAGAGCATGTCTAATTTTATTACATAGGCACCATTATGTCCAGTTTGTAACATTTTCATCTAAGAATGACCATCAACCAGGTATTAAACAATTCTCAATAGGATTTTGTTTTAAATCTGGGTCTTTATGCTAGCTGGCTAGTTCTGAAGTGCTAAAATACTTGTGCGACCTTTTTGTTTGTTTGCTTGTGGTGTTTTGTTTATATTTAATGCACATTATATGCACATCATAGCACTTGTTTTCTTACCTCACTTTAGTCGCACACCTCTACTGCATGATTTCATTTTTTCATAAACTTTAAAATGATTTCATGAAATTGGCTCAAAGTGGATGGAAAAATAGTTCCTCTTTTTCCTTTTAGTTTCCAGCATATGGTTTTTAAATCGTCTCACTGTAAGACATCAAGACTTGGCCTCATGCTCTGCCCACAAATGCATTCGTTCCTTGCAACTGTTGCAAGTTTGGACAAGCTTTACGGAACCACATTCAACCAAACTGTAGCGCACTTTGTATAGAGGTGCTACATAATGTTGGGTTCCCAGTTTAAAATGCTAATCTACTGATCTGCACTATGTTGTAGTTTTAGATTTGCCAGTATGCTAATGTTAGCTTTATTACATGACAAAAACATGTGATCTATCCTTATAGAGTGCAAAAAGGTGATTCAAGTTAATGAAAAACTGTAGCTCACAAATCAAAATATGTAAATTCAGAACGTGTTATTAATTACAAATGGCCAGTGTTATCATAATGGCACGTGTTGTTGCTTTTAACCTGCAAAGTCCAGCTCCATAGCGGGCATTTTAAACTGGAAACCGGAATCTAAACTCTAATCTAATATCATTAAGTTCGATGGGATTTTATCAAAGTTTGGCCTTGCAACTGTAGATATGAAGAATGCAGTCATGGGCGGAGCCTGGATATCAGTTATGCAGGGGAAGCTCTTCACTGTGCAGAGCTGTGGTCCTGGATGGAACCGCACAGCCCTGATATGGAAAACTAATGGTGAGTTCACTTCCTGGGATGATGCTCTACATTATACTCAGTCAATCTCCACTATTGGCTACACGTCTCACTCACAGCTGGATATATTTCGCAAACCACTCTGTAATTTTCATCTTCTATCCCACTCTGTCTCTCTCTCATTCATGCCTCCTCATTTCTCGGCTTTTCTCTCACTCACTGATTCGTCCGAAAGTCAGTGTGAATTATAATATCAGAGCAGACTAAGCATGAAAAGAAACTGAGACCATAGTAAATTAGCACGTTGCACATTGAAGAAACAGTATACAAGTACTGGATATCGAATTGTTAGACATGATCATATTCTCTTTTTTTTTCTAGAAAACTCCGCCATATTGCTGTCATACCCCGTGCCACTTGACCTCTGCTTTTCTCCAGGACTGTTAGACAATATTTGTGTCAGACACATTTTGTTATTTTTGTGATGAGGCTAGTACAGTTACTGTCCACCTTCTTTTACAGTACATGTATGTATATATATGTGAGTATATATACAAAGTTATGACCTGTGCTTTCTGGAAGAGTCTCTGTGGGCTGACCTCTTGGCCAGGGTCACTGTGGCTGGCGTGTAGTACTAGGCAGTGGTCCCCCTTCCTGCTCACTCCTAGCAAAGGATCAAACATTCTGGCACAGTCTTACTCTTGCAAAGCAGGTACACATTGTTTTTTTTTTAATTAGCTACAGGCATTCCTAAAACAGAGTGCTCTATTTATGCAAAATAAATAATCAAGAAAAAAAATCATTACGTGTCCATTTAGTCGCACATGTAGTGGTCATTTTCGAGCGACAGAGCTATGCGAGACGGCAGGGGTTATAATGAATCATGGGAGCACAGAAAGTCACTCACAGACAGATACTACAGGACTAAAACAGTGTTTTTGGCCACCTATGTACTACTCCATGTCCAGAGTCACCAATGATCATCCTTTTTCTCACACTTCAAAATGGGAACTCACGGGATGTCTCCACACGATACTTCATAAAATGCCAAAGTGGTTACTTACTTGCGTGAGTTGTCCTAAGTTCTAGATCAGGCAGTGGAATGCTTGCGTTAGAAAGAACTGGACTTGCTTTCCTTTGCCAGAGATCATTCTCTCTACCTCCCTGCTTCTTCGGCCTCATCCTCATCCTCATCTTTCTTTCGTTACTTTTCCACACCAGGTCCCTCTCAAACTCTTCCCAACCAGGTCTGTGCCTTCATCTTAGCTCACTGACCCACCTCCAGCACATACAGCTGAGTCAGGGGGCTGTGGTTTGAGGCTTGATGTCCAAAGGTGAGGCGAACCCACACCAATTCATGAAAAAGATATATATTCTATGTAAATACTCAACTTGGAACAGTTAAAAATAACAAGAGCATAAAAAATAACCATCACTTACCACCCCAACTCATTCCTTCTTTTACACTTCACTTTCTTTTCCTCTCTTTTTTCCAAGCCTGTTTACTTTCTACCTCCCTTAAGGTAAGTGCCTTTTCTCTTCTCTTCTGCACACTCACTGCACACAGTGCAGCCACAATGACACCCTGTGGTCAACATGAACACTACATCTTAAAAAGTGCTCTTCCTCCTCTTCACTTTGCTCCCCTTGTATTATGGCCAGAACTAAACCAGACAAAGCTCAGGCTCTTCTGCTGATAACCTCAGCACCCACACTGAAGAAAACTACAGCCAAACTACTCTCATGATTCCTTCTTTCTTCCACCAACGAAAAAAGAAAGAAAAGCTTTATTGCTCCACATTATATTGGCATTTTTTATGTCTACAAAATACATACACCTGACGCACGCACACGCTCTGGATCAGAATCTGGGATTAAGATTAATTGCTTAGAAAGAAAAGAGAACAACGAACAGAAGACAAGCCCCGCCCCCCTCACAGAACCACAAGCTGACCTGCAGCAGAGCCCCGCTCACCTCCAGCTTAACTGACAGCCACACCGACCAGTCATAAATGCACAACAGCTCCATCACCCTCACGTTCAGACGGCAGTGTAATGTCAGCGAGCTGGAGGTGGGGGTGGGGCGTACAGCACCTCCTCACCCTACATGAGCTTTTCCAGCACTGACTCCTGGGGTCCACATTTAGAGGGTAGATGTTGTACAGGAAAACTCAGTCCCCTACAACACCGGGCCTTTATTTTCAGACCCCCTTAAGGTCCCTGTCCCTCCTTCTTTCAGCCGCCCAGCGTCTCGCTACAGTCTGACTACAATCCCGCCGTGATTGGGTGGTGTTAATAAGACAAACATGCGTCCAGACACGCTAAAGAGTTATAGTGGCCTGAGCCTGTTGTTATTTAGCATTTTTACTTATTTTTTTTTGTTATCGTTATTTATCATTTCATCACGTATTTAATTCTAACGACTTCTTTAAACATTTAGCTTTTTTTTTTAATCCTCTTTTTCATAGGTCGTTCTCTACAAGAGTCCACAATGTGTAGTGTTTTTTTCCCCTCAATTTGCCTCAAGGAGCCATCACAAAATGCGAGGCGCCGAGCGGTCGTTGGAGACGGTCTTGCGCAGCCGTACGCCACGACGGATGGACACCAGCATGTCCTCGCCCTCCTGGGGCTCCTGCGGGTCAGCCTGGGCCTCCGGTCCAGGAGGAGGCCTGTCAGGGAGGGAAGGGAAGGGGAACTGACCTTCGCCCAGGGCGTGGGCGCTGGCCACCAGCTCGCCGATTTTTTCCACCAGGCTGTGGCGGTTGGCGGCCAGCAGCTGGTCCTCTTCTCCAGGCTGGCCATAAACGCTCATCTCCACTGCCCCTGCGCCCCAGGCAGTGTTAGGCAGGCTTAGACGCTTGGGCGATGCTTTCACGTACTCCAGAGCACTGGGAGAGGCGTCGTCCGGCACGTAGAACACACACTCCTCGCTCCCCACACGAGCAGGAGGCCCCGGGTAAGCACCGCCAGGCGAGTCGGGCACAGTGGGGGTCTTAACCGGCACTATTGGTGGGCGTATTGGGATGGGGCCCGCATTAGACAGGGTGCGTCTCACGCCGGGTTTGGTGGAGGGCGTCCGGCGGATGGTAGCAGTACCTGGGGTGCCCGGTCCTCCACCGCCCCCACCCCCTCCGCCGCTAGCACCCGGCGGGCCGCCCTGAGCACCCGCTCCGCTGGGTAGGCCAGCCGTGCTGGCAGGACGCTTGGTCTGGATCATGCGCCGGTAGTTCTGAGCGATGTTGCTGTGGCGAGGGATGGTGGAGGATTTGTCAAAATCGGTTTGACCATCAGCTTCAGCATCTCCATTTACAGAGTAGCAGTCGTAGTCAGAGCCTGAGGTGGTGAAAGGAAGATAGAGAGAAATGAATAACTGGAAAAATAACAATGTAAATGTGTTTTGCACATTATATTATACACTGTTATCTATAAAAATGAACTAATTTAAGACATACTGTGTCCTAAACCACAAGTTTAAGTGTGACATTAATGAAGACCTGGATGCAGTTGTGAGAAGTTTTGGGAATGTATTTAGGCGACTAATGACTTCTAGCTTCATTAATGTTTGCCTCGCAGCTCTAGCGCTAAACTGCAGAAGCAAATTCAGACACCAAATGTGTCTTGGCTGATTTACCACATCTTAGAGTAAGTATAAAGTTGCATAAATTTCATTTTAAGCCAAACCGTTTCTTTAACTTCTTAGAAATCAATATAAAAATATCTGCTGAAGATCACTGTCTATCATTAGTCTGAAAGAGGTGTGTGTATGTGTGTGTTACCCTGGGAGGGGATAGTGTCCTCAGAGCACGATGGTGTGGTTGTCTGAGTGCTGTATCCACTGGAGTACTGGAGCGAGTCTCTGCTGCTCTTCTGCTGCTCCATACTGAGGCCCCGCGTCAGCACCATGGCCAGGTCACTGGCCGCCGGAGACACTTCCTCACCGTGCTGTGACACACACATCTCCACTCAAACAAACACCCAGAAATGGCTACACAAAAGCTAAACAGGCTGTTCCACTTCGATTTCTTCTGTGTAGGCCATGACTTAAAAGTGCAGCTCCAGTCAAAAGATTCTTCAGAGCTGTTAAACAGTATTGCAGATATTTTCATCACAAAATGCATTAGAAACCACTATCATACGTTTTCTCTTTTTTATGAAATAGTTCGTTGGGAGTGGGTTTCACATCCATGAAATATGAATGTCATGTTATGATTAATACCATCTTTACCAGAGAAATAAAAATGCATTTTGCTAAATGTGTGTTAAATGTCAGCTGGTATTCATTTCACACCTCTTTTTCTTACAAATGGTTACATCATGCAAAGGTTTGGGCACCCCTGGTAACATTACATGTTTTGTTGATTTGTTTGTTGAAGCGAAAACAAGTCAACACATCCTCTACAGAGAAAACACTTCTGCACATTTTTGCAATAACTATTTGCTGAATTCAACACACTGGAAAAAAAAAAACAATATGGCCTGTGCAAACATTATCACACTTTATATGTTATGTTTTATTTTTTCCAATATGTTAAACTCAGCAAATAAACAGAAATTGTGCACTGAAATGTGCAGAAAAAATGCGCTCTCTGTACAGAATGTGTTGACTTATTTTCACTTCAAATCAACAAAACATGAATTTTGAAGTTTGCTGTAAATACACTATATGGACAAAAGTATTGGGACACACCTATTAATCACTGAATTCAGATGTTTTACTTAGTCCCATTGCCACAGGTGTATAAAATCAGGCACCTAGCACCTTACATCACCAAGAACAATGCCAAGCGTCAAATAGAGTAGTGTAAAGCACGCCACCACTGGACTCTGGAGCAGTGGAAACGTATTCTGTGGAGTGACGAATCACGCTTCTCTATCTGGGAGTCTGATGGACGAGTCTGGATTTGGTGAAGACTACCAAACACTACCTACCTGACTGCATTGTGCCAACTGTTTGGTGGAGGAGGGATGATGCTGTGGGGTTGGTTTTCAGGGGTTAGCCTAGGACCCTTAGTTCCAATAAAGGGAAATCTTAATGCTTCAGCAAACCAAGACATTCTGGACAACTGTATGCTTCCAGCTTTGTGGGAACAGTTTGGGGAAGACCTTTTTCTGTTCCAGCATGACTGTGTCCCAGTGCACACAGCATGGTCCATAAAGGCATGGCTGGGTGAGTTTGGTGAGGAAGAACTTGACTGGCCCACACACAGCCCTGACCTCAACCCCATCAAACATTAGAATTAGAATGGAGACTGTGAGCCAGACCATCTCGTCCAACATCTGTGTCTGACTTCACAAATGCTCTTCTGGATGAATGGGCAGAAATTCCCACAGACATTCTCCAAAATCTTGAAGAAAGCTTCCCAGAAGAGCGGAAGCTGTTATAACTGCAAAGGGGGGGGCAACTCCATATTAATGCCTATGGATTTAGAATGGGATATCATAAAAGCTCCTAAAGGTGTAATGTGTAGGTGTCTCAACACTTTTGTCCTTTGTTTCCTGAAAACATCTGAGCACAGAGATGATACATGAATGCTAGGTTGTGCGTCACACTGAACACTTTCTCTACCAGTTATGATGGTCTTAACACTAACTACTAATACTTTCGGGAAACTGGAACCCTGTTCAACTGAATTCTGTATTAATGTGCCAAGCTATTAAAAATAATGTGTTGTTAATGATATAATCTGTGATCATTATGTTGTTTGGCAGCCTTAGGCTATTGTTAATGAACTATATTTCTTAGTGGAAGAATTGCTTATTGTGCTTATTATTTATAATATATTAAACAATTCATTTAACTTTTGTGTGTTTTGGGTTATTTCCCATGCTTAAATGCCGTTGTAAGCAGAGTGGCTAAAATCTCCTTAACTGTGGTAAAATTACTGCATCTCAAAGACCTCGAGTGGCTTATTTATAATAATATAATTAGAAGAAAAATAGAAGATGTTTTGCTCTCCATTCTAAACATTACCTTAGCTGCTATGGTAGCAGGGGTCATCCTTGGCCTCTGAGGGTCTTCAGGATGGACCCCAGCATAGCCCTGTGATTGAGGCGATGCCTCTGACTCCCTTAGCCTATCCAAGGGCTCCTTCCTCCTCTGCAGCGTGTTGACCAGTGGCTGCTCATGTGGACCTGCCTTGGACCAGTCCTGAAGAAATGGGCATGGTTATTGCAAGTCTATATAATAAACAGAATCTGTTCTCTCTCGGATGAGAGGGAAGACCCGCCCACTATCCAGCAGTTTGAGCGTCCTTTCTTGCAAATATCGTAGGTGTGTGTTTTTGGTGCTGGCCAATACAGTGTTATGTGTCATTCTGAGTTGAGGGAACTCAAAAAGGACTAACAGGTACCATCCTTGGCCTGCTCAGTTTAACAAATCTCTAAGGCAGAGATTTGAAACCGGTATCCAGCAAACAGAAAAGGTTGATGTTAAGGAGCAAAATGAGGTAATGAATGAAGTTAAGCAGGAAATGAAATTAAAGCAGGACAATTGTAAATATGCATTATTAAGGACAAGCAAAAATTAATGCACACATAGATACAGACAAAGCAAAAAATATATAAATAAATAATAAAATAAAATAAATCACTGCAAAGAAAAAGTGCCCATGGAAACAAACCTTCCAGCAAGGAACCTTGGATGTGGGAGAGGAAGTGTTGGATCCAGGGGAGCGGTTATAGGGTGGGGACGCAGGAAGTATGACAGAGAAAGGCCTGATGGAGCCAGTGTGAGAGAGAGCAGGGCGGAAGGTAGCGAAGGACGAGCCAAACTGCGGAACGGAGAGACAAGATCGAGATGGTCAGAGTAGCCACACAGCCCCGCCCTCTCGTGACCCGGGACCGGAGGGGCTGCCTTATGATGGTCATAAGAGAGCACAGGGCAGATGAGTGGAGAGAAATGTGCTGTGCTGAGAGCAGAGAGAGCATCCACTCATGCCATTCTGTGCCATAACCCATAAGAACAGTACACAACAGTGAAGTACATACATTCAGCTGTCATATCAATACGCCAGTGGAGTGGATTTATGAATTTCCTATACACATATTAGGACTGCAACAAAAAGTTGGCAGCTGATTAATCAGCAATGATGTCAGTTTTGGAAAATGCCAATAGAAAGATGCAGCGTTTACTTAAAGCCACACAATGTAAGTTTGGGGGATTTTGGAGACCTCTCTGGTGGAAATGTGTAACTGCACATGAAGAAAAATTTCTAATGTTGTGCTTTGGACTCTTGGTGAAGGACGTTTTTTTTCTGAGCATGTAAGTGAATGAGCTACTATTGTCATCATACCTTCATCAGTATAATGCTGATTTCAAATTTGAGACCTAAAAATTCACCGGATCTTCTTTTTGAGCCTGTATGTGTGACTTTAATACATAAAAAATATAATGTCCAAAAATTCCTGGGAGATCTGACCCAAAACCTTTAAAAATATCATTTCAGGCTTTACAGAGTGACTTGCAGCAGCGCACGGACACCATATTAGCTATTTTTAATTCTTCTGGCAATGTGTCACCATTGGCTTGATTGTGGGGGCTTGAACCCAGATTTTTCTATAAAGCTGCTTTGTGACAACACCTGTTGTAAAAAGCGCTATATAAATAAACTTTGACTTGACTTGACTTGTATACGTGCTGGCGTGTCCAGGGTGTTTCCTGCCTCCGCCCAATGACCGCTGAGATAGGCTCCAGCTCCCCCCACGACTCAGAAGGATAAGCGGCTTAGGTAATGTGTGTGTGTGTGTGTGTTTCTCCTGACTCAGTAACTTCTGTTTCTTTTATTTTAACAAAAAAGATCTAAAGTGCTACTTTAAAAACAAAAGACCTCTATGATGCTGTATAACAGGGGTCACCAATCTCTTCAATAAGGGCCAGTGTGGCTGCAGGTTTTTGTTCTAATCAAGTAGAAGAGACTTGATTCCACTTGTTTAATCAGTTGTTCAAACAACTTATTAGCTATATGAGGGAAATCCTGCTGAGCTGGAATGAAAACCTGCAGCCACAGGTTTGTGTATAAGATTGGTAACCCCTGCTCTATAATGTTCATATGACAGAAGTGATCATTCTGGCAGACTGCAATATACTACAGGAACTTTTGGGGGCGATATGGCTTCTATTGCATCATGTCACTATAAAAGAAGAAATTCCTTCAGACAAAACTTTGGCTGTGTTCAAAATAGCCTGCTATCCTGCTTGCACACTAACTGTGCCCGAGGAGTAGTACTATACAGTATGTGACCAGCATAAGTTTCTCCAATACACCAAAGGTACCTGGATGATGTTTTACTCTGGCCCAATATTCCATCATGCAGCCAGAGCTATGCTGGTGATATACTGCATTCAATGTGAAAAATCAGCTTGCAATGGTTGCTTAGCAGTGACCGGGGGGCTAAGAAAATGAGGCGGGTCTTGGCATTGGTCTGGATGGCTCAGCCCCTGATGTTGGTATGGTCTAGTCATGCTCCCTGCCGTATAGTACGGTACAAGCAACATGATGGTAATTGTGGCATACAGGATACTATACTACATAATGACACAAGGAACTGTGTATGCAATATATACTGGCACAGTAGACAGTACACAGTACACAGTATGCTATTTTAAGCACAGCCATTGAATTCTGGTGGAGCTGAGATGAGGCAAAGCGAGAGAAGAAGTGTGAAAGGCATTATTTTTCCATTAGATGACAGAATTATCAATTTTAGGAATAATCATTAGTTGCAACCCTAATATGAATGTTGTGTTAACAGTGGTTAAAACAAATGGGATTAGCACATTTTTATATAAACAGTAAAAGACAAACACTGAGCCATAATAACTATATATAATGTCATGGATGTACAGAAGCAGATCTGGTACACCGATATGTATTGAATAAGCATGCTGTGGTAAAAGGGAGTAACAAAATATGCTTAAAAGCCACTGTGGGAGTGAAAGTGTGTGTACTTACTGTTGTAGGAGAGCTGCATTCACTCACTGACTGACAGGTTTCGGAGGCCTCTGAGGATGCTGAACTCGACGACTTCTACAGAACAAAGAAAGAGAGTAAAAGGATTTTAATGGGCAAACATATCTGTCTCAGTACCTCAACCTCAGTACTAACACTCAAAATGCTACACATGCAAATTTGTCTATAATAAAAATGAAACATTGAAATTTGTTGTTAGTATTTTGTCAATGTCCAGAAAATGTCTTTTTTATTTTTATTTTTACTTTTTTTGTGTAAGAATTTCACAATAAATAGTCTAATAGAAATGCTCCAAAATAGCTTGGAATGAAATCTCTTTTCAATGATGTGCATTTTAGGAAAAGAACATTTTTATTTAGGAAGTGATTAGTGCATAACAAAATCTCAAATTTCACCACAATTTAATTTGATTATTAATAATTACTTAAAAATACGCCGAATAGGCAAATGCAACAAATTATTTACACAGTGGTGAAATATAGACAGTAAAAAATGTTGTTTTTTTATTTTTACATTTGAATATTTTTTATTTTGAAATAGCTCAAAACTTAGTTTTGAATCACCAACTTCAACAGCTGTTGCTAACTGAAGCTCAAGCTAGCTGAGGCGGTGCTACCTGGCTGGTGATGTCCGATGGCATGGGCGAGGGGGGCTTGGAGTAGACATTGGCATCCTGAGAGATGAAGCCGGAGTCGTGGGAGGAGACGCTGCTGAGGCGGTGAGCGCCCCCCGGTGGCGGCTGGGCCAGGCTGCGGTAGCGACAGGATGAACTGGGTGAGTGAGTCTGAGAGCCTCCCGAGGAGCGAGAGGCGCTACTGTGGGCGCTGTTCACACTGCTGCTGGGCCGCAGACGACGAGGAGGACATGAAGGGTGTGGAGGGAAAGGTGGGGGGGGGGTTTGAAAGGGTGGAGGCAAGGGGTTCAAAAGCATGAATGATGGACATGAAGAGAGAAGGAGGGGTGTGGAGGGGTTTGAGCAAAGACATATGATCCGCAAAGTCATTCAGATGGAATGGATGGAATGGGGGGTTTTATAAGGTTGAGAAAATAAAAGGACCAGGGAGATCAATCACATACATGAGGAGAAAGGGAATAAATGTAAGAATGAATGTGAAGCAGTGGGAATGTAACAGAGAGGAATATGGTAGGTGATGAGAAAGATGGTTCAGATCATTTACAATGAAGATAACAAGGGGTGGGATGGAAGGCCATAAGAAGAAAAGGCCAGATTTCAACAGATTGACACAAATTAAGAAAGGACGATGTGTTTGGGGAGGTGAGGGGGTCAGAGCAGGGGAAGACACAGGTTGGAGAGAGTGTGAGAACGAGTAACATCCAGGCATGGGCTGACACTGTACAGGACAGGGGGCCTGGCATGGAGAGCATGGGTTGTGTCCACAGTGAGAAATCCACAAATGGACACTTCCCCTGCCTCCATGCAAGGCTGCTAACACACACAAACACCACACACATACACACAGCACAGCAGATCCACAGAGCACAGCTGGATGGAGAGCTTTAAGTGCTTTATAAATGGGCTTATCAACAATCCAGACGAATCTGTCTCAGACATTCATTTTTAATTTGACCTTGGTATCTATCAGCTGCAGCTGAAACATAATGCTTGGGGAGTTCTGCAGAACAGAGAGATTTTAAGGGCCCATATTTTTCTTATATTTTATTGTTGTTCTCTGAGGCCTGCTTGTAATGTTTGAGCGGTTGTATGCATTATACAGTAGCGTTTGTCTTGTACAAAACCATTTTCAGCCTGTCCTTATTTCTTAGAATGAAATAGGCTGTTTTTGTTATTGTACCTTTAAGAATATTTATATAAGATATATATAAATAACTCAGTTCTGATTTGCTGCCCTGTACTGTATCTCCGTCCAGGCTGGAATATGAGCAAACTGAAAAACTGTAAAAAAGGAATAGTCTGGTGAAGAAAACAAATCTTCACAATTTTCCACTTTCCTCAAATGTAGTCGATCAGCCAAAACATGTTTGGTGCCCAATTCTGCTTCTTTAGCTTGGTGCTGGAGCTGAGAGGCTAGCGTTGCTATAACAACAGACGTCAATAGTTACCCAAATCTTTTCCATAAATACATCCCCAAAACTTCTCTGCACCAGGTCTTCATTAAGGTGGCACAGACGTGTTGATGTGGTTTAGGACACAGTATGAAAATAAAAATAAACAAAACTTCACCGCATATATAAATGCAAAGTGTGTTGTGCCGAATTCTGACTCCTCTTCCCGTGCACACACTTGACACAAGCATATGGACAGACTGATTTCTGTTGTTTCTATTTGTAAATAATGGTTCATCTTGAATTTTCAAACTGAAGACATACATTTCAAAACAGAAACAACAGAAATCGCAAGCATTTACAGGTATCTTACTCACTTACTGTAAGCTATAAAGCTATTAACCACCTGTTGTCATTTAGCTACACTGTGAAGTTTTGTTCATGTTTACAGACCACTGTAAAACATACTGTGTTCTAAACCACATGGACAAGACTGTGCGACCTTAAAGTAGACCTGGATATGGTTTGGGTGGGTTAAGTAAAATTTCAGGGATGTATTTGTGGAAAAGGTTTCGGTGACTATTGACTAGTGTTTGTTAGCAAAATTAGCCTCATAGCTCCAGTGCTAAAATAAAGAAGCAAAATCTGAACTCTAAACATGTCTAGGCTGATTGATTACACCTGGGATAAGTGGAAAATTGTGTAAATTTTATATTTCCCCAAGCTGTTACCTTAAGTTTGAACTGAAATTATCAGGAATGTCTGCTTTTTTGGATGTGTGGATCCTTTGGAAGGCTGCACTGACACATTTGCTAAACAACCAGGAACCAGGAATGGGATTGTGACACCACAACCATGATGAATTCAAAATGATGTTTTGGCAGCTTATTATTCCATAAATGGACTGTGTGGACTGTGTGATGTGTGAAGGGCACAATGTTTACGAAGTACATCAACCTCTTATATTGGTTTTCCATGATATGGGCCCTTTAAAATCTCTTGTTTTCAGGTATCCTTTTTCAGTGGCTTAATTGCAAATCAGACCTCAGGGGATCACAGACAGCATCGGACTTACAACAGGTCTCTGAACTGCATTTACTGAAGCATTTGTCAAATGGCATAAAGGCAGAATAATTTGTCTCAAAATCGACAGGCGTAACCCGTAGCAGATTACATGCCCGATAACATATTATTACATTTCATTTGGATAGCCCACGGTTCAGCAGCAGGCCCTCACACATAATTATGGTTTGATATGGCCAGAGAGCACCACTCATGCTGGGTCATTAATGCACTTTGGGTTTGTTATGGGCACAAAGACAGGCACAGGATCACACACTGACACGTGAGCACTCTTTAGAAATACAAAGACAGAGAGGTCGCAGTGTGTGGGCCGGAGCAGCAGGTAGGCAGACATGCAAGCGCCACTTTAGCAGAAATCCCCTCTCACACACACACACTCATACACATACTGAGGCACAACTGAAGCACTATTCATAAAACACATTAAAAGTATAAATATACTGCAGCAACACTGAAAATAGTTAGAGAGAGAACGATCTCCAACTCCTCCTCCATCCCTCCTTCTCTATCTATCTCTGTCTCTCACCTGCACATGCTGCTTTTCCTAGAGCCGGAGCTGCTGGGGGAGGAAGGAGGGGTCTGGTAGGACCAGCTGTAGTCTGACCCCTTCAGGTCCTTTATTACCTGAGAGAGTGAGACAAACAGAGAGGGAGAGACATAAGCACTGACAATGATCATTTTTCAGGAAGACAATTAAAGCAGTAATTCTGTGAAAAATCATAAGTACATAATTTTATTTTTACAAATTTCGCTGATCAGCCAACATGTTTGGTGTACAAAGTTTGCTTCTTTAGTTTTGCACTGGACGTAGAGACTAACAGGTAGTGGAAGCTTATACACCACCAATCAACACAATTATTTGAGGTGACTTAAGAACTTGATGCAGTTTAGTGTCATGATTTAAGCAGTTTGTATGATGTTAATTGGTGAGTTGGTGAGCTTCCATTACCTATTAGCTACATTAGCCTTGTAGCTCCCTGTGTAAAAATAAAGAAGCAAACCTCGGACACCAAACATGTCCTGGCTATGTGAATAAGATCTTGAGGTAAAATTGAGAAAATTTTGTTTTTAGTTCTAAACAAGCCCACCTTGATCAGGATCAGTCCTGTAAGCATGACATAAGCAACTGTTTAAAACTTTAATCAAGCATATCTGGCTGTGTGGTGTTCAAAGGCAGTGATAATGACATGCTTTTCAAATGATGTTTATCGTGCCTGGCTATTTATTACTAAATAAATGACCAAAAAGTTCCTTTGTACTTTTCAGGTGGCACATATTTGTATGGGTTTTAGAAAGTACCTTAAAGTAATGAAAAATATAAGTGAAATTCATTTTTTTTTCAGGAAGTCCTACGTAAAGTAATCTCATTACAGTTTGAGTTTGAGAGTAAGTAATTAGTAATTTGTAATCTTTTTTTAATTTAAGTTTTTATTTAATGAAGTGGGCATGTAGCGATTATGAAACTGGTAGAGATTGTTTCAGAAAGTGCTAGAAAAACAATGGAAAAAGCAGAAAATAAGGAAAAAAATAATAAAGGCTAATTCATTCAGCGAGGTTTATTTATAATTTGATAATTTGACTAAAAGCTAATTGTGCAGTTATATGGTTCCTAAAACAGGCAAAAAGAATATTACTGCTCAGCTTTACAGGATGTTATTGTAGAAGATCATCTATCTGGAGGAGCTTCACCACTACCTTTACACATTACACCATTACACAAACACTAACACAACTGACAAACTGTATCTGAAATGTGCACATTTTGGTCTACACAACTTCTTATAGCACACTTAAACAACTCGCAGTGCACTGCTGGGTGTGCTATAGGAGAAAACGTCTGTTATAAGAGCGCAACATTTACAGATAAGATGGAGCTCAGCTCAAATAAAGGTCTGCTTTATAAAAGTCAGAAGAGTGAAGGAGGAACTTTAAAAATAAAAATAAATTTAAAAAATCAACAAAAAAATGGTCTATTTTTGATTTTTATTTTTCTACATCATTTGAATATGGCCATTGTCTCTGTGATTTTTATGACAAATGGACCAACAGAAATGCTCAAAAATCTCCTATTTTGCTCTAAAGTCTCCTGTTTTATAGATACATATATTTGTTCAGTGATGGTCATTGTTCTTCAGGAATATGGTCAATTTCTGCAGACCTGGCTCTCCAGGATCTGTGTTGGAGTATTTACATTTTTTGAGCAACTACCCCAACACTGGTCTTGGAAGGCCAGACTTCCGCAGGATTTGACCATATTCCTGCTCAAACACATGATCAACTCATCAGTTTATTGCCAAGTTTAGTTGGAGTGGTAAAGCAGGGAAAACACTCAACTGTGCTGGAGTCCAGCCCTCACTCTCCACCCCTGCTACATCCTTCTAGGATGAGTTTGGGTCATTTGGGACAACATGAAAGCAAATTACCTTAACTCACCCTTTTAATTAAGATAATAATGGAGAAATCTGTGTAATTTAGTCCAAAAAATAGCCCCAAATGTCTGATTAGGTTACCGTCCTGCCCATATTATTACTGAAAGAAAGTACAGTCTTCAGCAGTAGTGCTAATCCTTTACATTCAATGTTTTGCTGGGTTGAACTCGAGACCTGTAGGAGTGTACCTGCTCGCTGGCTGGGGGCAGTTTGTGGGGATCAGTGGTCAGCACAGTGAGGTCATCAATAATGGCCTGGAGATGTGTGATCTCTCCCAGCATGGCAATTTCTCCATTCTGGCAGGAGGAATAATCACAGATACAAAGGTTACTATATTTCTGACTATAACTGAAATGTACCATTTGTATCTAAAAAAAGAATATGTTCATTTAATGGTGCAGGCTTTCTAATTCACTGCCTCTTCATTCAAATAACAAAAAATGATACAGAACAATATGTGACATGAATAGTAATAAAGGGGAATGTGCCACTCTAGAGAAACGTACCACCTCAGAATTGTTAACAATGGTGGTCATAGGAACCAAACGTCTGAACTCCTTAATGCTTCTAAAAGCTACTTCACAGAAAGCCATCATATGGTTACAAACACATTGTTTAATGCCTGGGATATTTTTTATGATTTGTTTGGCCTAAAATATATATTTTTAATCCATTCATGGTGAAGAGGTACATGGTGTTGTACAGCAAAATCATGTCCAAGGTTTTCACCATGATCAACAATGATAGAAAATGAAATGGTTGTACTTGTAATGTACACATCAAAGCCTCTGGTTCCTATCACCACCACTGTAAATAAATCTAAGACAATAAACAAAAGGAACACACCATAAAACAAAATGAACATCCCAAGGATGTTAACAACAATATGTCATGCACAATGCACCATTTCACATCAGTGCAATGCATTCTGAATGACTGTGTTTCTCAAGGATTTACTTCTTAATCATATAATTATGCATACATTTTGAAAAAACCAGTGGAATTCCTCTTTTAATTTAATGAACACCAATATAAAATGTGAATACTCAGCATGAAATATGAGCACTATAATAAGCATTGTGCAGGGTTCTCACCACTACAGGCTGCAAAAAGCTGATGAAGGTGCAGAAGCGCCCTCTCTCCTCCACCAGGGCGCGCCGCACTGCCTGCTTCTCTGTCTCCTCCATCAGCAGGTACATATCATTCACATCCTGCATGGCACTGTCCAACTGAGGCTGCAGGTCCCCTCGGCCTACAGGGGGCAACAGAGTGCAGGGCACAAGAGGGACAGGAGGAGGAGAGATAGTAAACAAAAAAAGGGGGGCAGAAGGACAAGGACCAGGAAACAGGTTGAAGTGACGGCATGAGACGATTTAGAAAAGCATGGAGGAGAAGAGAGGAAAACATGCCACAGAGCAGGTAAAAGGGTAAAATAAACAGTAAAACAGGGCAGGAATATCAGAGAGAGTGGAGAAGGGAAGAAAGAAAAGAGAGCTGACATTAGGATGGACAGTACATTGTCACTTTTGCTACTCAAAATGCACAATGAACACAGAACAGACTTTGCTAGTTGACTCCGACTAGCATCTACACAGCCGATGGAGGACAAACAGATGGACTACACAGCCCCCCGACGCTTTCTACTCTCAGTAAACAAAACGAACACCCCCAGGACGTGAACAATGTTAAGTCATGCAAGACATCAACTGTTAGAGATGTTCGTAACCCTGACTGAGGACGCAAAGTTGGTTATCCGGAAAAAGAGCATCTTCACAAACAGCTAGCATGCTGAGAGATCATCAGCTAATCATGCAAAAATAAAAGCGAGGCCCGGGGCATTGTGGGAAGAGGGGGCAAAGACAGCCGCTAGAGTCTGATTCCATGCAGCATAACAGCATCTCTGTTAGGGTTAACTCTGAGTGTCGCAATATTAGTGTTAGAAGCAAGAAAGAGAGACATGCAGAGAGAGACCGTAGGTTCTAAAAATGAAGGTGCCAGAAGGGTTCTTTGGGGCGATGCCATAGAACAGTGTGGTCCAATCCTGGTTCTGGAGATCTACCACCATGAAAAATTTAGATCTGGCGCCCCTGGCTCTGACGCTCAGATGCTCCTGAAGGCCTTCATTGCTTGGATCAGGTGTGTGAGGTTGGGGTTGGAGCTAAACTCTGTAGGGTGGTAGAAAACCAAGACCAGGGCTGGTCACCCCTGCCCACTTTTGTAAGTGAAAGAATAACTTAAAGAACCTTCAAGTGGGTGGTTTAAAGATCCACTTTCTTAAGTGATGATGATGCATGAGTATAAAGAACCATTTAGAGGTTTTCCACATAATGTAAAGGTTCTAGGAAACATGTATATGAAGGTTCTTCACACTTGCACATCTAACCCATTGAAAGGTTCTTTAGGGAACCAGAAGTGGTTCTTCTGTGGCACTGTTCCAGAGTTGTTTTGGGACCTTTTTTAAGAGTCTAGAAGATGTTCAGCAGGAGCAGCAGCTTTGTGGGGAATATCATACTCACCCTGCAGCTCTACAGAGGGACAATGGGAGATATATAGGGAGAGAGAGAGAGAGATAGAGAAAGAGAGAGAGAGAGAATGAGAGAGAATGGAAGATAGCAGGGGTATTCAGGAGAAGGTGAAGGATATGAGAAGAGAGAGAGAGAGAAAGAGGGGGGAGAGCTCCATGTTAGGGTTAGTATCAAGAAGCCATCACAGCTCATTTCACGGCCAAAGTGCTTTGGGAATGTTAGAGCAAAACCACTGCAGCAACCAAAAAAACCCCAAAACCCAACCAAAATAAAGCTCCTCACATTAACAGGTAAGCACTGTACTCATACACTTTAATATGGCGTAATACAACGGCACCTTCAGTCTTACACATGGAGTCAATGTCAAAACCTTGCAAATTATTGAAAATGCCAGCCGCCTTTACAGTCCATGAACGTTTCATGATGATATCAATAGAAACTGTCCTAAATTACTTAGAATGAAATCTTGTTATTTTAACCCAGGGCTCAAAGTTTTATTACACACTTCTATAGTCTAAGAATAACTCAGTCAGTTTGCACTGACGTCCCTGTAGATACTGAATAATAAGCCTTAGTATGTAATTAGCCTGGGATTTTAAGGGGTTAACATACAGCACTGTGCAACAGTTAGAAACCATACTTCACTTATTTAATTTCCAGCCCAAACAGCCATTACATACAAGTTATTAATTTTTAAGGAGATTTTACTGGGGAGATTAGATATAAGGCAAGTCAAAGACTTGTATAAGAAAGTCAAAAGAACATAAGTGAAAAAAAAATATTATATATACAGAGAAAATGGGACTCCTAACAACCTGATAGAGCATCAAAACTGCCCCATCTGATAAACAGAGCTTAAAGCTTTCATAAAGCTTTTGTGAGAGAGAAGAAAATCAAGGTCCACTCTTGCTTCAGATCTGACAAATGTTGATCTGATGTTTCTGTTTATTCTTCCACTATGAGAAATCTGACCACACCAGAGTCCAGACCTCAACATCACTGAAAATGTTTGGGATTATTTAGAACGTGAGAAACAGAAAATGCAACCAACGTCTAAGACTGAACTTTGGAGATGTGGAAAAATATCCCTGCAGATCTCTTTGAAAAACTGAAAGCAAGTCTCCTGAAAAGAATAGAAGCTGTAATAAAGGTAAAGAGTGGACACACTAAACACTGAAAAAATGATATTTTATATAGTTGTTGAGTATTCTTTGTATTTTCTGCTAAATATGCTTTCTGCTTTTTTCCTGATGCAGAAAAATGAACAACTGCTACTGTTTTGGCTGTTTTGACTGGAAATTAAATAACTGAAGGTTGGGCAGGGTGATGGAAGGTGTTGCACCTTGCAAAGATCTTGAGTAAGATGTTTTTCTTCCCCTACAAAGTTACCATTCCAGAGATAAAACGTTTTGTTTTGTAACAAGGTGTTGTATTACACCACGTATAATACAATATATGTGGTATAATGCAATAAATGTTCCTGTACCTACACAGAACATCATTTACTTGTCTATTTTAAGCTGTAGCCTTGTTTAGTCTTCCCAGTAACACACTGAATTATCATCCACGCTTCAAGAGCGCGAATTATTGGCTGCTGAGATGAGAAGGGGAATGGCTCAACAAATGACATGAAAGCTGTAGTTTCACTCAGCAACCACCAGAGGGAGGCATTACATTACAAAATCAATGGCTTCACAACTGAGAACCATGAGACAGCTCTCTCGTTCTGTCTCCACAGCTTTAAGACAGCAGATATCAAACGCTTTGGGAATTCGGCTGTCCATCACAAGCCATGGACACCACTGAAGTGAAATCACAGTCCATGAAGCATAGGTGTCAATCAAACGGCACGTGACTGCACGAGCTGCTCCGAGCTGCTGGATTTCACCTTGAGGTGATGTCCTTGAGTTCCTCTAGCAGGCTGAGATTTCTTCCAGGCAGCAGGGGACGGTTATGTAACACAGATCACTCAGCTTTACCTGTCGCTATAGCAACCGGACATAAAGTTCCTGCTGTTACTATGGCGGATTAGATGCTTTGGTGCAAAGCTACAGTGTTTGCAATGACCTTTTTGCAGCGGTTCCGACCGACATCCTGGTCTTAGTCTTTACAATAGCTGGTACAACAGTGCACTCAGTTAGGCTGGGTTTGTTCCATTCATTCCAGCGTTGCATACAGTTGATTACCACAAGCAATAATTTTGATTTTCCTGAATATTTTCTTGGTCTTTAGATACAAACATAAAACCTGATGACTCTAAAAGTAGAATAGCAGCCAATGGGCAGGTACTTCAGCAGCAAGTCAATTGTCTAGCAGTAATGAATTGTATAATACTGACTCTAGACTAGGTTGTAGAAAGCTGGAGGATTCCTTTAACCTTCTTTACATAAAGAAATAAAGGTCTGAATTTGTCACTAAAGCGGGCAGCGAGTACTGTTCCCTTTGAAAATTTGTAACAGTCGAAAATGAGGTCACATACCTTTTCTAGCTTTCTTCTGCAGTTTCATTGTGTCTGAAGATTTCTTCTTTATCTCATGGCGAGACCGCTTATACTCTACAACGAAAATATGCAGAAATATGCAGAATATTTCGGTTTGTGGGAAGTCTGTTATCAAATATGTTTAATAATCCAATTATTTTTGTAATCCAAGGCATATTATGAGTAACCTTTGGCGTGATCCTTGTCCAGCTGATTGGCTGTTTTCTTCCAGTCCTCAATTCGCTCCTGCAGTGGGTTGATCAGGCTTTCCATTAGAGCACTGAGAGAGAGAGAGAGAGAGAGAGAGAGAGAGAGAGAGAGAGAGAGCGAGAGAGAGAGAGAGAGAGAGAGAGAGAGAGAGAGAGAGAGAGATCAAATGATAGAGATACAGACTTTATTTTGTCATGTTTCCCAGGATGATTTCATAGCAGACTTTGGTTAAAATTCCTTGACTCTCAAAATCTCTCTCCAGTTAACACTCAGAAGCCATAGTTATATCATGCGCATGATGTAATTTAAAATGAATTATGATCATAAATAGAAATAGAATAATTGATTGTATTCCAATATAGTCACAATCGCGCTGCCACCATTTTGGACGGCAACTTGAAGTTCAGCAGTGCTGTGGCTGTTTGTACTGAGATAGCCATAGCAGATCCAGCAAAGGCAGTGAAACACGTTTTTAAACCTTTTAAATCTTTAAAGCACATTAACTGATGTGTTTGAGTGCACTGACTTGATTTTGTTTGATATGTGGTTGTAGTTATGACCAACAAAAGTTATCTAAAAGGCAAAAGTTTGAGTTATTTATTGATTTTGGATCATTTATTAAAGTAAACTGAAGAATTTATTGAGGTAAGCTGATGTTGGCTTCGTATTCACTTTCGAAATACATTCTACGTTTAAGGCGCCTCAGTGTAACCGCAGCACCATTAAGGTGGAACAGAAAATTTAAATGAGAAACTGGCAAATAAGAAGCTGATTTGAGCTTAATATATAAGCTTTATAAATAAGTTTATTGTTTAAGAGCTTTGTCAGCTTTAGGAGCCACTTTTATTAGTTTTTATAAAATCTTACACACTGGAATGTTCTGAATTCTTGAAAAAATGCAGGCTATACGGATCCAGCCCACCAATCTAGCTAATCTTCTCGTAGTGTTTTCTGGAGACGAATCTTAAGCGTCTTTTTAGTGGTCATTCTGGTCTATTTTGCGTGGTTTTTATCCATTTGCAGGGGTGTAAATGCAGTAAAGGTGATGAGACGAGCTCCAACTGAGCACAGTCGGAGTCACAGCTGGCCTACCAAAATGGCGACGTGGTCTTCTTAATGATGTCATCAAATACTATGAACTGTTAATTCAAGCGGAAGAATTCTGATGAAACTACAGATTCTAAACTTTCAACTGGTACCATATTTGTGTTTGCAAGTAGATTTATTTTATTATGATTAGAATCTGGTGTAAAGTTATTGTTGTGTATACAGTCTTGTTTTGGGCAAAGACAAATATCCTTTCCACCTTTTTAATTTTGCCTCTTTTTTGTCATTCCTTTACACGAAAACAAACACAAAAACAGTGTAAGGAGGCCCTGAACTGGTCGATACAGAACGTAAATTGAATGCACATGTAATGCATAACTTACGATGAAATTAAACATGTAATTATGCTATTATATTTGAATAGTATTGCTGAACAAAATAATACTCTTGGCTTCTAAGGGTTAACCAAACCATGAAAATGAGCATAGAAATGTAGAGGATTTTAAATGAACCCTCATCATTATCATCATCATCATCATCATCATCATCATTTCTCTTGAACTGTGTAGATTTTTGCCTATGTGAGTGGAATTTTAAAGTCAGTGAAAGATGATGGCCTTCTGTGAGGTTTACAGTGTGGCTTTGAAGGTTGTGGGGCTTCCATTCATTAGGCTGTCAATGGAAATTGTCAACAGATGTCATCTAATGAGGTGAGAGAATGTGAATGGGTGTGTGTGTGTGTTTGTGTGTGTGTATACTTTTCTGCTCTGTGTCATCAGATTTTGAGATGGTGTGAGTTCCTGACAATGTTGTTTTGGAACACCACAAGACAGAGTGCTGCTGTGCTGCTGTACTAACATAAAAGATTAAAGTCCTACACGAGCTTGGAGAGTGAGGTGTGTGTTTACGTGTGCTTGACTGTGTTCATACATGGCCCTGACTCTGTAGTATGTTTTACAAAAGCTAGATATTTCATTAAACTGAAAGAATCAAACCATTTCTTGGTTGGTAACTGAGGTTAGAGCTTCCTTATTATATACAAATACTTACAGATGCTTTCAGCGAGACTAAGCCAATTGTTTAAAGCCATTTATCTCAGTAAAAAGTGTTTTTTGCCAGTAAAAACACTACATAGCATTAGAGTAAATACAAATAAACATAACTACACTAATGCATAACTACTAATGCATAAACAATGCATTAGTAGTTATTAAAATATAAAAGTAGTTGATATAGTGTGAGGTGTGAAGTTAGAGGTTTGGTTCCAGATTTCTTCTAAAGTCACCAGACATCGCATAGATTTGTCCAAATCCACCACCAACACTCTTGACTTAATTTAATGAAGCATTGATTAGCCAAACCAGCCACTGGATAACTATAAACAATACTGGGGTTTCCCAAAAAGAGGTTTGGAAATGGTGAAGCAAACAATAACATATATAAAATCAATATTTATTGTATTACTATTAACTGTATTTTTTCTAATATTAGCAGTCTAAACACAAACTGTCCAATTAAATAGCTCTTAAAATAAAATTTTCTTAGGTGCCTAAAACTTGTACAGTATTGTATATATAATACATGCAGAACTTATTATTACTGTTATTGTTATTACATACAGTTACTTACATACATATGATACATCTGGGACATGTTATTGTTACATGTAAATATTTACATATACATAACACACAAAGGACATATTATAACTAGATATAGACACTTAAATCAACAGTCTTGAAAAAGTTTGAGTGCCCCACGCAGACATAGGGAGAACCTGCACATAGAAAAGACCCTGGACGCTCGGCCGGGGAATCGAACCCAGCTCTACCCACTGCGCCACCTACATATGTACATTTAATATCTCATGTCATGACATAAAAATGCCATATGTAACTGTGTTCCCTGTAGAGGATGTGGGGATTTATTTTCACTTAGAAAATCAACAAAGCATTTTACCAGGTGTGTTCAAACTTTTGCATACAACTGTGTATGATAGATGTGGGACCCACGATATTATTATATACAGATATTTGCATATATTTAATACATGTGACACGTATGTATAACCCTATATCCTGATATTGTGTGTGTGTGTATGTGTGTGGTCTGGCAGTGCTGGTCGTGTGGATTTACACAAGAACTCTGAGTGACAGATGGCTCTTCGGCTCAAACCCTGCTTGTAGTCACACTCTAGCTGTAATTTTCTTTGTGGTTAACATGGATTCTGTTTATTGTTTGTTGAACCGACTGAAGGCTGCGGTTTACATGTGTTTATGTATATTTATGAATGCACTTTTAAAATATGAGGCATTTTGGATATTAATTGTATTCCAACATCATTCTTTATTGTACACCAATTCTTCACGGCCTCCGTTCATCAGCCTGGACACTATACTTTTTTTCAGCTTCCTAACCTTCCACTAATTAATGCCAAACCTGTGAGGTTCCACAGGGCTAGCATATTAGAAACACCATCTAATGCAGGGGTGCGCAATCCTGATCCTGGAGATCTACCACCCTGGAGAGATCAGATCCAACACACCTGGCTCTAACATTCAGATGCCCCTGAAGGCCTTCATTACCTGGATCAGGTGAGCTTGATTAGGGCTGGAGCTAAACTGTGCAGGGTGGTAGGTCTCCAGGACCAGGACCTCTGGTCTAATAAATATGTGTAACCAAACTGGTTTTACGTTAAAACATTGTTTTCAAAATTTGAATGATCATTCCAAACTTTGAATGAATGTACACAAAATGCTAAAACGTGCAGTATTTGAGACGCATGGTTATTAAACAAATGTGTATATGTTCATACTTGGTGAAGTGGCGCAGTTTGGCCTCAATGCTGCGATGCCGCATGCACATCCGGGTCAGCGCCGATCCAATGTCCCGGGTGGCACCTGAAGGAAACACAACCATCAGAGAAAATGTCAGAACAAGAGTGGAAGAAAGTCAAATAAACACTAGGGTCGCACCTAGAAAGACACACCAGAGGACGAATACAACGTCTGTATGAACATCTCAGGAAAAACAATAGTAAATGTTTGCCACAGTATGGAATGTCATGGATATAGGCCGCACACTAATCACTGTCTTTTAAAAAGACTCTCATGTGTGCCCCCCAGAGCCAGTCAAATATTTATCATACACATAGTCCAGCCATTTACTCGTAATGTACACAGTCCGCGCCGCAATCCAAATAGTGCTGCTATTTGTGTGTGCGAGAGAGTGAAAGAGAGAGAGAGTGAGAGAGTACAACCTGTAGTGGTGACATATATCAGGCTATTTTTAGCAGCCGCTGAGCGTTTGGAAACTCCTGACCTCAGTATTTGGAAGAAGTAGCGCTCTCTCTTCCAAAGAAGGTGGCCTGAGAAGCTATTGTTTCTCCTGTGTTTATACGACTATTCCACTTGTTGAACTGAGCGAGTAAAAGCCCTGGATCTGGTGTCATTCCTGCGACTGATCTGCAGTTTAAATAGGTCAGCCACTCTCCAATTTACACAGAGAATAAAGGTAACACAGCTGACAGCAAAACAAACCACATAAAAGCGGGAAAATAACATGAGCTAGATGTTTATGATTTAAATGACTTGATTTCAGGAGAAATGAAAAAATGAGGGTGCTGATTCAACAGCATCTGCTGTAGAATGCTGGAATAGATTACAGTAATATGCAGTAAAGCAGGCACTCATTTTTTGACTGAAATAAAATTCTCAGGCTATTTTCAAATGTGAAAATCCTTTCAGAACAGCTATATTCCACTATTCCACTACTTATCCTAAAATAAATTGAATTTGAAATGGAATGTGAAATTTCACTACGCACTGAATCATTGCCTAAAGAACTGTAATTGAATTTATTTGTCATTAGCAAAGAGGTTTACTTGCACTAAATATGTTCAGCTTTAAACTTTTCTGTGGCAACATTGCACTTGAGACAGTCATTAAATAAAGCCACATTGAGTTGATCTACACTCTTAGTTTCAGTTAACTGGCTTTCAAAAAATTAGATAACTTTTTTTTTTTTTAACCATCAAAGATCATTTCATGACATCAATACTAGGATAAGACAAAGCTGACCAATGTTTGACTTTAGAGATAAGTGGACTAATGGTTCTGTAGCTGCATCAGCATTTTCAGCTTGTTCCGATGAAGCTCCAGAAGCTGGTATAAGTCCTAAACCCCAACCTAGGCCCAACACAGATTTCTCTGGGTCACACTTACCGGCCTGCCAATCCAGCCTGATTAGGCCTGATCCCTAATCCAGGTTCTACAGGGTTAATCTAGGCAAGGCCAAGGTGACCTATGAACATCATTAACCTCCATTCCCACTATTACCCTCAATGACCTTTCACCCTTCTCTCATGCCAAAGAGTCAATCGTTCAACCTGGGTTAATAATACAGACAAGATGCTGCTCTAATCAGATGTTTTGTGTTCATTTCTGGACTAAATTATAGTTATTAATAGTATAAAACTAGGCTTAAAGTGCTAGTTAGCCCCACATGTATTGTGATGATCATCTAAGACTTTTACTGAAAAGTTCACTGTTCTTTACTCACATTGGAGCTACTAGGCCAATTGTAGCTACCAAGTAATGAAAGTTTATGCCCTACCACAATGCTTTCTCTTCTGATACTGATATCCAATCTTCAAGTATCTGCCAATGCCAAGTACTGATAATGATCCTAAATCTTAATCCTGTTCAAAATTGTTATTATATAATCCTTAGATAAGATTTTGCAATAAGCATTTTTACTACAGTTCGTCTCACGAGTAAAATAATCCCACAATCCCAGACATGTTCCTTGCTTCAGTTAACCTCCATCCACCAAGCCTTACTTTGTAGTATGCCTTGGTACCAGTATTCGAGGGTCAGTATCAGCACCAATAAGGTATCGGTGCAACACCATATACTGCTATATATAAGATGGAGAAAAGTATGTCGCATAGCTAAAAACAGTATCAGCCATCTTGAAGCTTGAATTTTGTCTGTACTTTTGTCCAATTTTATGATAAAAGTTTGTCACAGAGTGTCAGAAACCACAAGCAAGTCTATTTGAGATTACATAACAATTCGGAGATACAACGCAATGTTCAATAAAGTTTTCTGATATCAAGATAATAACATCACAACTGATAAATTATTAAACTAGTGTGCCGTTAATTAACTAAGTGGATTTCAACAAGAACAGGCTTTTTGCTGTGTAAACAGAAATCTAACCTCTCCCTTAAGCAAATAGCAAAAAAAATAAATAAATAAATAAGTAACCATTCATTATAATAGAACAAGTTCATTCACTGTTGAGCAAAATAAAAATAATGAAATATATCAGAACAGATAGCACATTTTTGTGCACACAGTGTCACTGATGCAAAGAACTGCTCTTATAAAGTATCAGAAGCTCTTTGACTGCTAATGGCGCCCCTGGTGGAGAATTTGTAGCCTGAGAAATGTGAGTGAGTTCCATGAGATGCTTCAGTCTAAAAACAGTCAACAGCTTTTTGTATTCGTGTTTGCAGTCAGGCTACAAATACAGTCAAAGAGTAACAAATAAATATAACAAAAGAGTAACAAAAATATATATTTAATTCCTAAAAAGCTCCTTACGATGATGCAGATTTGTTGTGCCAGTGGCCAATACTGCTTCATACATTTTATTATAAGTCCATACATTTTACACACATCACTGAAAGTGAGGCTAGTCATCACATTTGAGGTGTTTTTACAGGCTAAGATTTCAGGATAGCGTAGTTTTAGAGCTGTGCATGTACGTGTTGTGTGACTGGCTGTTTAATCGAATGCTTAACTTACGTGCTCCCCACATGGAAGAGCAGGGTTCAAACCCAGCAGTTGTTGGGCTTCTAACACTTCGTTCCTATTGATCTAATTACATCACTCTGGCATTGTGCACGTGAGATAATTTGAACTGTTCTGTCATTATGGCTTGATGTGTTCATCAAAGAAACACATATTATGATAACGATAAAATACGGTGTATCATGCAGCCCTACAACTAAATGTGTGATGCAGTTTGCATGATGCTAACTGGTGGGCTATAAGCTTGCATTACATTTTAACTAAATAGAAACACCCCTGAAACTCTTGTTCTTGTTTTCCAACTTTTATTTTGCAAAGAAAATCAGACTTCAAAGCTTTCCTCCTAGCGGTGTGCTGACCAACCTCTGAACGACCTTGAAGATGGGAAAATGATCACAGTCCTTCAAATGAGAGAGCAATGACACACACACACACTGCTGAGCAAATCCATTACTATCAGCATTCTAACAGATGCTCTTGTGCGTCATAATGGGGGATCTGTGTCACATGACCTTTGTCCCAAAAACACTCCCTCAATGACATCACAATGAGGCAGAATTCGAGCGAATCAAAATCCAGCTGGTGCAACGTTAAAGTGCCAGGCACTCAAACAGGCCCTCCAGTGTCAAAAGCATGCTGATTTTATTACAGCCTGCTAGCCCCTTATTACTGTTGATATTTCTTTTGCACTTTACACAAAAGACACTGACTTGACGATCGGGCGGATTTTCTGCTCGGCTGCTCTGCGCACACACTATAAAATATGCACGCATGCAAATACGCACACACGCAAGGACAAACTCACACACATACACAGCTACCCAAACACACATACAGAGAAGCTCCATTCATAATTAACACATTCCTGCCTTGTGCCTACTGTTCTACCCAGCAACCATTCATTAATGCAGCGCACACCACTCAGAAAGCTGAAACACAGTCTAGTGTCACAACACCACAGCACCTTGAGATTAGGAGTGAAAACAGCGAGAGGAGTAGCAAGAGAGCAAGAGAGAGAGTAACAAAACAGAGAAGAGGAATGGAGAGGAGAGGAGAGGAGAGGAGAGGAGAGGAGAGGAGTGACAGACGGAATGTGAATTACATACTGAGAGTGTGAGATGAGAGAGAAAATAAAAGAGAGAGAGAGGGAGAGAGAGGAACAGAGAGAGAAAGCCGAGTGGGAGCATCTCACACATGTTAATTGCTTCTGGATTGATTTAGCAAGTGACTATGTATGTGTTTGTTTGTTTTCACTCATTTACAGGACAAATCCATGTCCAAATCCAGAGAAAAACAAGATAAACTTATAATATCCGAATCAACAAAATGGAACTGAAAGCTGTGTGTATGTTTCATCTTTCAAAACTAAAATGGGAAAAGCATTTCTTTTTAAATTAATGTGTTAGGACTGATTAGGCTGGTGAGCTTGTCAGCTGTCATTAGGAATTGTCAGCTGAAGAAAATCCAGAGCATAATGAATTCTCTGATGCTTCAAACCCTAAAACACAACAGCGATGGGTTCTTCTAAGCAGCTGGCTGAGGGTGTGAAAATAAAGCTAACTAATGCCTACAATACAGTGGAAGAGGCAATATCTGAAAGTCCAAAGAAACTCTCAGATAGAGCTACCTGGCCAAAAAGGTCCCCATATGACAGAAGTTCCTGCAGGAAGGTTTAGCTGACACAGGAGCGGTGGGCTAATGAAGTAAAAATGAAACTCTTTGGCCACAATCACTAAAGGTGTTTGGAGGAAAAAAGGAGCAGCATGTGATGAAAAGAACGCCTTGCCAACTGTTAAGCATGGGGGTGGATCTATTATGCTTTGGGGCTGTGTCTCAGCTGGTGACACAGATCAAAAAGACTTATAGCGTGATAACGTGATATGACACCATGTTATCACGATACACAGATAACACTGCACAGGTAGGTGGAAGAACGTATTCCACTAAATGTCAGCGAACTGTGGAGGCAAATGGACAATGACCTAAAACACTCTCCAAAATCCCAAACTACTACAAGAAGTGCAAGTTAAAGCTTTGGGAAGGTTGGCAGAACAACTACCCAAACTGGAACTCAAAAACAA